TATATATATATATGATCATAAAGATTGTTTGGATGGCATCATTATAATAATTTCATTGAATGAGAAAAAAAACTGAAATTTTAAATAAAATATTGCACATTCATAATGAATCTTTAATTTTGGTAAAATAAGATGTTGATTGAGGAGGACAATAAGTAATATTGTATATAATATTTGTGTAATTTTGTAATGTTTGAGTAGACTTATTTTATTGATTCTCAAATTATTTGACCAAAAGTGGTCACGTTACATAACATTACAATAAGAAATTTGAAAATTTACATACATACCCCTTAAATCCTATTTATTTACATATCAAACGCCTAAACTTTACTCTCTCTCTCTCTCTCTCTCTCTCTCTCTCTCTCTCTCTCTCTCTCTCTCTCTCTCTCTCTCTCTCTCTCTCTCTCTCTCTCTCTCTCTCTCTCTCTCTCTCTCTCTCTCTCTCTCTCTCTCTCTCTCTCTCTCTCTCTCTCTCAGATGTCAATCTTATCTGAAGATGTATATGTATTTCATATTTTAAAGTTAAAATAGTGATATTTTCTATGTGTGATGTGAAAGATTGGAGCGATATAAATGTAGGAATTCAAGTTTACGTATTAGATATGTAAATGCATAAAAATTAAAGGGTATGTATGCAAATGGTCATAAAAAATGATATTTTAAGAAAAAAAAATTGTTAAATCCTACAATCATTTATTCATCAATTAAATATGATCATATTCTTTGTTGTTAATGAAAGAGAAGACTAAGAAGGTGATATTTTTGTTCTTTCTATTGTAGACATTTGAAAGATAATTTATCTAAATGCCTCAATCATTGCATGTATTAAGTAAAACAATATAAGTGTCCACTTTCTTCACATCAAACTATTTTTATACTTCACAATATCCTAAGCTCTTATCATCAAAACTCTATAAAAAAAAGGCAATATCCCTAATGCTCTTTCATTGAAGAAGGAAAGAAATGATATCCCCTCTCTTACTTTCCATGACTCTTCTCTTTCTCTTTCTCTTCCTCTTACCCTTCCCTTCCCATTCCCGCAACCCGAACACTTCCACTTCAACTCAACAATCCTTTCTCAATTGCCTCAACTCCTCTTCCTTCCCCTCCGATCTCATCTTCACCCGAGCCAACAAAAACTACACAGTCCTTCTCTACTCCTCCATCCAAAACCTCAGAACTCTAACTAAATCCCCCAAACCACTCCTCATCCTCACCCCAAAGCAAGAATCCCATGTTCAATCTGTTGTTTCATGCTCAAAAACACACAATATCCTCTTAAGAATTCGTAGTGGTGGCCATGACTACGAGGGCCTCTCATATGCATCAACTTTAAGAAATGCCTTTGTAATAATTGACCTCCAAAAGTTTAGCTCTATAACTATTGATTCATCAGGGAACACAGCTTGGGTTCAAGTTGGCGCTACTTTAGGAGAACTATATTATGCCATTGCTATGAAGAGTAGAGTTCTTGGATTTCCTGCGGGTTCTTGTCATACAGTGGGAGTTGGTGGCCATCTCAGTGGTGGAGGATTGAGCATTATTATGAGAGCATATGGTATTGCAATTGACAATATCATTGATGTTATAATTGTGAATGCAAATGGTAAAATTCTTGATAGGGAAGCTATGGGTGAAGATCTTTTTTGGGCTTTGTGAGGAGGAGGAGGAGCAAGCTTTGGGGTCATATTATCTTATAAGATAAAGCTAGTTCAAGTTCCACCTAAGGTGAGATATTACAAATCTTTTTTTATCATTATTTACTAAGCCTATTTATTTTTCTTTTTAATTTGAATTTCTTTCATTTAATATTTCACAGTTATTAGTTTATGCATATTATTTTATTTTATTTATCACTGAAATATTAGAAAATTAGATTTGTATTTTTTTTCCTTAACTATTCAACTTTTGTTTTCATGATGATTCTGTTGAAATGAGCTCAATCTTTATGGAGTTGTAGAGATTAATTAAATTGAGCTCAAGGAGGAAAGCATCTAAGATTGTATTTTGAATTTTTTTAAAATTTTTATGATACAAAATAATGTTATACCTTGTTTTACAACTTTATTATTGATTTTTAAAAAATTACCCTGTTAATTGAATTTTTAGATTAAATATATCATAATAAGAACTATGAAGAAAAATATAAGTCAAGTTTTTTTCTAAAATAGAGAGAACCTTTAATATTCACAACCATTTAAAAAAAAACTACATTTTTTACAAAATAGTTTTAAAATTAGTTTTACAAACAACTGTAGTTATTCCAAAAACCTTAAATCTCTTTGGCAAGTGTGTGTACAAGTATATCTAAGATCAGTAATCTGACAATCAAAAAGTAGGCCACCAAAGTGAAAATATTGGCATTGAAATAATAAATGCCCCATATTTTAAATTAACAAATGTTTCCATAAATTCACAATAGCAAAAAAAAAAATCAAGAATTGAAAATAAAAATTGCATATGAAGTTTTTGATAATTATTTCCATCACACTATTGAAGAGTGAGTATCCAACCATACCACCAAGGCCACCTCTAAACCCTAACTTGTTTATGATTTTATTTAGATTCTTTTCTTTTTTAAATTTTCATTAAATTCATTAATAAAGTAATTTATCCTTGTATTATTAAGCTAGTAATTGTTTCAAACAGGTCACGATCTTCACCATTTCAAAAACACTTGAAGAAGGAGCAACAAAGCTGGTTAGCAAGTGTCAAGATATAACTTACAAACTTGATAAAAGACTATTTTTGGAATTAATCATTGAAACGGTGAATGATGATAACAAAAATAAAACAGTTAAAGTTACTTTCAGCCCCTTGTTCCTTGGTAAAAAAACAAGAACTTGTTTCCATCTTAGAACAAATATTTCCAGAACTGAAATTGAAAGAAAAAAGATTGTATTAAAATGAGTTGGATTGAATCCATTTTGAGCTTTGATGATTACTCTTTTACTTCACCATTAAATGTCCTACTTGATAGAAAGCCAAGGTCGAACACAACATCCTTCAAGAACAAATCAGATTTTTTAACAAGACCAATAAATGAAGAAGAATGGAAGAAAATATTTAGATTTCTTATTGAGGGGGATCATTGGCTTATGATGATTATTGATCCTTTAGGTGGAATGGTAGCTGAATTCTCTGAAACTGAGACTCCATTTCCTCATAGAAAGGGAAGCTTGTATGATATACAATATATTACTCAATGGACTGAAGCTGGGATGGAAACAACACAGAAGTACTTGAAATGGATGACAAAGTTTTATGAGTTTATGACTCCTTATGTTTCCAAAAATCCAAGAGTTGCTTATTTTAATTACAGAGATTTGGATTTGGGTGTTAATAGAGAAGGGAACACAACTTATATAGAATCTAGTGTTTGGGGTGAAAAGCATTTCAAAGATAATTTTAAGAGATTGACACAAGTGAAAAGTTTAGTTGATCCAGGAAATTTGTTTAGATATGAACAAAGCATTCCTCTGCTCTTTTAATTCAAACTTGTAAGCATTATAATAGAAAGCATGTGTTGTGGTTAATCAATATGGTTTTAGGTGCTAACATACCCTTTCATTCAACATTCTTATAAGATAAAAGTTCATATAATTTGTGAAAAATAGTTATGGTGAATTTGTAGGTCAATATTATTTTTTTAATTAAATATATTAAGTTTGTATTGAAAATATATTAAGTTGAATAGGTGCAAAGTGTTGTTTCCAACTTTATGGCATACAAGGTGCATCAAATAGTGGTACCAATAAAAATTAAAAATTGAAAATGAAAAATACATTTGAAGTTTTTGATAATTATTTCCATCAAACTATTGAAAAGTGAGTGTCTAACCATACTTCCAAGGCCTCCTCTAAACTCTAACATGTTTATTATTTTATTTATATTTTATTTCATTAATAAAATTTCATTAAATGCATTTTTAAGTAATTTATCCTTTTATTATTAATTAGTAATTGTTTCAAACAGGTCACGGTCTTCACTATTTCAAAAACACTTGAAGAAGGTGCAACACAGCTGGTTAGCAAGTGTCAAGATATAGCTTACAAAGTTGATAAAAGACTATTTTTGGGATTAATCATTGAAACGGTGAATGATGATAACAAAAATAAAACAGTTAAAGTTACTTTCAGCCCCTTGTTCCTTGGTAAAAAAACAAGAACTTGTTTCCATCTTAGAACAAATATTTCCAGAACTAAAATTGGAAGAAAAAAATTGTATTGAAATGAGTTGGATTGAATCAGTTTTGAGCTTTGATGATTACTCTTTTACTTCACCATTAAATGTCCTACTTGATAGAAAGCCATGGTCGAACACAACATCCTTCAAGAACAAATCAGATTTTTTAACAAGACCAATAAATGAAGAAGAATGGAAGAAAATATTTAGATTTCTTCTTGAGGGGGATCATTGGCTCATGATGATTATTGGCCCTTTAAGTGGAATGGTAGCTGAAATCTCTGAAACTGAAACTCCATTTCCTCATAGAAAGGGAAGCTTGTACAATATACAATATATTGCTCAATGGACAGAAGATGGGATGGAAACAACACAAAAGTACTTGAAATGGATAAGAAAGTTTTATGAGTTTATGACACCTTATGTTTCCAAAAATCCAAGAGGTGCTTATCTTAATTACAGAGATTTGGATTTGGGTGTTAATGGAGAAGGGAACACAACTTATCTGGAATCTAGTGTTTGGGGTGAAAAGTATTTCAAAGATAATTTCAAAAGGCTGGCACAAGTGAAAAGTGCAGTTGATCCGGGAAATTTGTTCAGATATGAACAAAGCATTCCTCTACTCTTTTAATTCAAACTGTGAGCACTATAATAGAAAAACATATGTTGTGGTTCATTTTGACTATTAATATGGTTTTATGTGCTAATATAACCTTTCATTCAACATGTTTATAAGTAAAAGTTCATATAATATGTGAAAAATAGTTATGATGAATTTGAGGGTTAATATTATTTTATTAATAAATTATATAAAGTTTGTATTGAAAATATGTTGAGTTGAATAGGTGTAAAGTGTTGTTGTTTGTTATTTTTATGCGCGTGTGTGTGTGTTTTGCTCGACAACTAATGCCCTATAAGTCCTAAGAGATTAAGAAACAAAAATGTATATAGAAGAATTTAAATAGATCATTTTTAAAGTATTTTTAAAATTAAAGTATTGGTTGGTTAGTCCTAATTTATGAAGTATTTCCTTATCTTTGAAACAACTTATCATAATCATATATGAACTTCTAACTTTATGGCATAGAGAGTGCATCAAATAGTAGTATCACTAAAAATTAAATAAGAGAAAAATAGTATTAAAAAAATTAAAAGTGATGTGCAATTTTTTCCCCTTTTTTTCCAAGGAAAAAGGAAATGTTAAGAGAGATGACAAAGTAAGGGAGAGCTATTTTTAAGTAAAATAATTAAGATTAATTGAGATATTAATTAAAAAAATTGTCACAATAGACCAAATTCAAAGAAATGGACAGAGGGTACAAAGCCATATTTGATTTTCTGTCTTTTATCATTATTTATAAATGATACATTAATCTATTTATCTTGAATGTCATTATTTTTCATCATTATAATGTTTGAAATTTTTTTTTTTACTCATTCTATGTTTATTCAATTTATGAAATCAATACATAATATTTAAAATTTTATAAAATAAGTGATTATACAAGTTTTAATATTACGTTGAAAGCACCTCAATATCACATATTTGAAAAATGAGCGCGATATATATATAAAGATTGACGCTATTATACAAACTTCTCAATCAATCTTATGTGCTTAAGAGTTCAATCACACACATAAGCGAGATCAAACTCGTAACGTAATATATATATATAAAGATTGGTCAGAGGCTATTATACAAACTTCTCAATCAATCTTATGTGCTTAAGAATTCAATCACGCACATAAGCGGGATCAAACTCGTAACGCAATGGTTTTAAAAACTTTGTCAACCAAGGAGTCGTGATAGAAGACATATATATATATATATATATATTCTTTTTTTTTTTTTCTTTTTTTTTTTTGGTAAAAAGGAAATCGGCATTTTGCAGAGGCCCAAATATCGATTTCCCATGCGTTAGGCCCCCTAATGAGAGCCCGTGACATGTGCCTAAATATTCGAGAACCCAGCGTCATTGGGGATCAAACCCGTAACCAAATGAAACTTTCAATGAACCCCGCCAACCAACAGACCACGGCTTGCGGCGCGCACACACACACACACATAATTTGGTATGTATGCATGTAGGTTTATTTGCTATTCCTTAATAATTGCGTGTCACAAGTCTTAGCCTGTTGGTGGCGGGGTCACTATAAGTCCTCTCAGGATTCAATCCAACCATGCAGCGGGTGATCTGTAATTTTAAGCACATGGCGCAGACTCTCATCATGGGACTAAAAAACGCATCAGAAATTGATATTTGAGCTCCTCCAAATATCAATTTATTTTTTAAAAATTTAATATATATATATATATATATATATACATACATACATACATACATACATACATACATATATAAAATAGTCAATGCCAATTTTATTAATGACGAAATTGACAATTAGTGTTCATAATGCCCGATTTTCTATAAATAAAATTAAAAATAGTAAAATATATATTCAGCACGGCGCAATTTGTCCATTTATAGAAATGTTTGAAATATAATATGCTGCATCATCGTCAGCATCAGATAATCCATTTATAATTAAACATAAAATAAATCAACCAAATAAGGCAATGCATGGGTAGGACTGTCAAAAAAATTTGTTCGAAAACAGTTCTTATTCGGCCCATTCGTTAAATAAACGCGACGGACAACAGTTGTGGCAGGAAGCTATTGCGCAGAAACTGCTGCTTGTTTTTTGCAGTTTTGAAACAGGTGTGTCGCAGTTATTTCTGAACAAATAGCATTTCTACCCATGTACTATAGTGTTGTTTATAACATAATTGTTCACAATAATATATTCTATACTTGAAAGTAAATATCCTGTTTGAGCGTATCAAAATAAAAGCAAACATCTCACAAAAACATAACATGACAATCAAAATTATCAAAAGAACTATTAAAATAATAGTTAATAATATGATAATATAATTTTTTTAAAATGCACTTAGTTTATCTCACGAGATAAATTGTCCTTCAAGAAAACTCGCCACACTCGATCACTATCAGCCGTCTATTCTTCCAACTCATTTGCCGCCCTAAAGAAGTAAGGTTTCTGTTCTTCTCCTCGAACATCATTAAAACTGTCACTCGTTGCTACATGGTTGTCGCGAAGTAAGCAGAAAACATTGTTGCCCACAGAAGCAGTACAAAGCTCTGAAGGTACCGAAAATTCTTAAATTCATCTTTTCACAATGTTTAAACAATAAATCACAAATCCTTAGATGTCATTTTGTCGGAAAAAAATATTATAATTAATCAATGCAAGTTTTATTAAAATGTGAAATCTCATATAACATAGTATGAACCAATGAATCTGTCACTACAATATGACAACATGCCTTATAAAAAAAGAGTTTTAGGTTGTCTTTAAACTAATACTACACTCGTATGAACCATATGCATATCACAAAAAAAACCCAACTAAAAAAGCCTCAAAAGCCATAACACTGAAAAAAGAGAGGAACTTGGTTAGCTTCATTAAGTTTTCACATGTGACAAGAACCAATAGCGACATATAGACTATCCAAAAGAACGCTTCTCTTCATATACCTTCAAAAGCCAAAAATAAAACTTATAATAAAAATTTATATTACATATATCTGCAGTTGTCTCATCGTCATCCAAGTGGGAAAGAATACAAGCAAAGAGCGAAAAATAAAATTGAAATTCAAAATATAGATTATTGGATAAAGCATTGATACAATAAACAACAAAAACTTTCACCACATTATAAATAAAGTAGCAACAAAAAATACAATTAGTCTATTTAGCAGCTAACAATGGCATCCATAATTCGCTCCCTCAACTCTATCATCTTTCATGCACCTTCCACACCCTAGGTTCAACTCTCAAGTAATTCATCTTCTGCGTGTGATAAAGATTGTCTTAGGTGATGTTTAAACACTCTTGTAGGGACATGTGAATGATCTTCATCAAACTTATTGAAGTCAATGTCACTGTGTAAGGGATGCTGTCGAATATAGTTGTAGAGAGTCATTGTGACCACCACAATCTACAGTTGTCTAAGAAACGGATATGTCGGCGTATTCCACAGTATGAACCATTTTTCTTCCACACCCAAAATATTCTTTTAATGACATTGTGTAAGAATGAATCTCTCGTTAAACATTTCTTTCGTGCCCCAAGCAACATTGCTGGCTCTTTCAAAGTCGGGAATGTGATATTCGGTATCTAGAATAGCTTTAGAAACTCTCTTTGTAAGAGATATCTAACATCGAACAAATAATATTTATCTATTGCAAATACAATAATTGTTATTGCATTGAAAAAAATATTAAACTAGGCTTTATGGTGGAGCAAACCTGAGGGTGGGTGAGGAAAGTTATACTTACAAGTTATTGTGGAAAATTAGAATATATGACTGTCGTGTGCACTGTTTTCCCAACCAGTTATAACAAAATTAAAGCATATGTTGAAGTTACATACAACCATTACTTTTTGTGTTAGTGATCCACATTGCCCAATATGCAACATCTTTATTATTCAATATACGTGCATCCACGTGAGTTCCATCAATCACTCCAATATAATTTTAAAAAATTTAATAAGGGCATGTAAATAACTGAATTCATTTAACTTCTGAAATTAATGAATAAAAAGAATTATATGGCATATATCGTGGGCCATGTACAATCTCTATGAGAACTCTTTCAAATGTTGGGTCATCTAGCTTTGTAATTTTTGATGATACACTGACTAGAGCATTTAAATCAACTGAAAAATACCAACTGCTTGTTTATGATGATTGTTGGAATCGCTCCATAGCTTCTCTCATAGATTCATTCTGTGATCAAATATGGAGGGTATTGATAACATCTCTCTGGAAGTCATCTTGGAAGAGTCATGAAGTCCATGATTCTTGTGTAGTTCCTCTAAGAGATCGATAAATACGGGTTATGTCATATGGACCATATTGTTGAATCTTGTTGGGTGCCCTACAAACAACTCCCTAACACAAATATCACCAATGTAAGATAATGTCATGCAAGGAGATCGAGCTATGTACGAGTTATAGTACTCATACATCAAACACGTTGGAGCTAAGAGTCTTCTTCTGCGTCCAACTCTATGTGCATCTACGTTAGGCAATCACTTTATCAGCTAACACGTCCAAGAATCACCGAAGTAGCTACTATCATAATATTCTTTAAACAAGCAACCATCATAAATAGACTTGGAAAAGAAAATAACAATGGAATTTGTTTAGCGCAGCGGTGAGGCTGCGACGCAACACCCCTCCATGAAATCAGACGTTTGATTAGGAAGGGACGGGTGCATTTTATTAAATTTTCTCGATAATCCCCACCACGACCTGCGAGGTATGTTTGCACTTTCTATGATTCTCTATAACTCCCATGCCCCCACCCCCAACCCTCGCTCGACCACGTCCCACATTCATTGTCCCTAGGTTTTTTTCTCCTATCTTCTTTTTTCTTCGTTCGTCGACAACTGTGACGAGGGTTTCTCGGTGTTTCATTTGTCGACACCTTTGACTTCAACATGTGTTTTACTTTTGTTATGACTGGTTGAGAAGGCAGTGCAAACTACAATCATATATTCAAATTTGTTAGAAGAACTTGAAAGTATAATTTCTATCACTCACCCTCAGGTTTGCTCCATCATAAACCCTAATTAGATTTGTTATACTCATTATTGATTTGGTTGATGTTGGATAGCTCTTACAAAAAGGGTTTCTAAAGCAACTTCTGGATACCAAATATCATATTTCTGACTTTAAAAGAACATGCAATGTCGTTCAGTGTACAAAATAAATATTTAATAAGAGACACTCGTCCTTACACGGTGTCATAAAGAATATTTGAAGCGTGGAAAAAAATATTTCATACTACGGGATATGCCGACATATCTATTTCCTAAGTGAAGATTATGATGTTCACAATGACTCTCCATAACTATATTCGACGGCATCAGTCGCGCAATGAAATTGACTTCAACGGAGCTGATGAAAATCATTCACATGTCCCTACTCAAGCAGTTGAATATCGCCTAGGACAATCTTTATTACATACTAAAGATGAATCACCTCAGTTGCACCCATTAGAGGGAAGGTGCAGGGAAGATATAGTTGAGAGAACAAATTACATATGTCATCGTTAGCTGTTGAATGGGTCAATTATATTTTTTTTGTTGCTACCACAATGTTTTATCCAATCATGTATATTTTAAATCTCAATTTTATTTCTCGCTCCTTGTGTGTATTCTTTCTCACTTGGATGATCGATGAGACAACCTTGAATATAATATGCAATATAAATTTTGATTAAAAGTTTTATGTTTGTGGTTATTAGACCCTAAGTTTATTATGAGATATTCGACCTTAAAGATTCTTTTGGATGACCACATGTCGTTATTGACTCTTATCACATGTGAAATTCCAATGAAGGCAACCAAGTTCCTCTTTTGTTTAAATGATATTGCTTTTGAAACTTCTAGATAGATTTTTTTTGTGATATGCATGTGTAACACATATAAGCTCGGTATTATTTGATTTAAAGGCAATAAAAAATATTTTCTTTTTTTAAGATTTGTTGTCTTCTTATAGTGACAGATTCATTTGTTCATACTATGTTATATAATATCATACAATTTAATAAAACTTGCATTGATTAATTATAATTTTTTTTTTCCGATAATATTGCATTTAAAGATTTGTGTTCTATTGTTTAAAACCTTGAAAAAAAATGAGCTCGTGAACTTCTAGTTTCTCAAGAGCATTGTACTGCTACTGTGAATCATAATGTTCCATATTTACTTCACGACAGCTACATAGCTCGAAAAACAGTTTTACATGTCCGAGGAGAACAAAAAGTTGACTTCTTTAAGTTGGCTGGAGGAATCGACAGGTGACAATGTTGAGCGTTGAGAGCTTCCTTGTAGGACAGCTTATCTCGTGACAAAAATGAAATATATTTTAAAAACAATATTATCATACAATTAACATATATTTTAATTTTTAATTTTGATTTTTGTAGTACAGTTTTATGAGGTGTCTCTTTATTTTGTAAAGTTTAAACTGGATATTTAATTTAAAGTATAGAATGTGCTCGCAGGAACAGTTCTGCTATAAACAATAATATAGTACAAAGGCATGAAAGTCATTTGTTCAAAAACAACAACTGTTGTAAAACTATACAAAAACACAAACAAACAGCTTCGCCGTAGCAGTTTTTTAATAAGATGCAGTTGCGCCAATCAGACCCTTACTCTTATAATAAACAACACTGCTCCTCAGCCACCTCAAACTCGTGGAATTGAACTCGAGCTCGAGTCAAAGTTTAGCCAAACTCAACTCATTTACAACCTTACTAAAACAATGTATTACAGACAAAACTCACATTTTCATTCACAGCGTCGTCAACGGCCAAGAAAATTGGAAGGCTCGTCAATGTCATGAAACAACCCAGTCACCCTGCAGAAAAGACATGATATCATATATAAAATTCAGTATATTGATGCCATAAATGAATAAAAAAGTGAGATACATCATACAAGCATGCTCACCTAAGGTATATATAATAGAGGGCATTTGCATATTATATAACACCTATTTACATATTATATAACCCCTAAATTTTATTTTTTACATTTATATATCACATCAAAAATGCCACCACTGTAACTTTAAAAAAGTGAAGTACACCTTTTCACGTATAGATAAGATGGTAATGTATGTAAAAGTTGAAGATCTGAATGGTAAATACATAGGAATGGAATGGCATGTATGTCCTTATATAATATTATAAAAGATATCAATTGTGCAATATGGTCCAAGCACTGAAGTATGCACAACAGAAGACTTTGGTGGAAGTATTTGTTGTTGATGGACGTGCATGTCATGCATAATGTATACAAACATTTATAAGGGAAAGATAATAGAATTGGCTCAAATAATAGATTAACGCGAAGTTGGTTGTCGCGTCATTCAATACGTGAGAATTATAAGGGATGTTTGGCAATAGGACTGTCAACAAGGCTCGTTGTTCGCGAACAGCCTGTGTTCGGGGTTAATCGCCGATGAACCCCTGCAAGATGGTCACATGGCCAGCTACAATAAATGCCAACAAAACTGTGAATGGTACCGAGTTTTGTAAGATGAGAGAACTCATCTTATTGTCGGCCATTATTTTTTTTGAAAAGGATGATTTTTTTTGCAAAATATGAAAAATAGTTTTAATATAAATATGATTTTTTAAAGTAATATTTTAATTACAAAAAAAAAATGAGACCAAACGAGTCTCATATATTAAATAGTTTGGATGGTTGAGCGCGATACCACAAGTAATACACTATCCTGAAGGATAAGTATATCACTTAACAGTAGTTTCAACCACCTAAACTAAGAAGTTTGTGACATTCATTTGGTCTGCAAAATCTTTTATGTATGGCCGGAAAGTTCCTTTACCTAATATAAAGATTATATAAGGTTTGTTTTACCTGAGTTCTAAGTTCCCTATAGAGGCAAACCTCCGTAGTTAATTACATATTAAATGATCGGGATCACTTAAGAAAACTACCGATTAAGATCAGTGGTTTTACCTTCCAGATTTCAAATTTTAGGTTTCCAAGATGGGACACGGAAAAATCAAACGGAAGTGGCTCAAATAGGAATAGATATTTTAAGGAATCCAAAGAAGCGAAGAGTATAGAATATCACAGATCCAGAGAGAATCCTGGTGACCTCCCAACTATCCTATTGTTTGGCTTTATTTTGTTTGAAATGATGTTATTCAATGTCTAATCCTGCAATTTACTTTAGAATTTAGGACTTACATTTGCACGATATCTGATCGTGCAAATGGCCTAGAAAAATAGGAGAATTTATACTGTACTGTACGGTAACCTTAGAATCCTAAAAGTGTTAGGACATAAAATTTCACAATAGGGTTGTGCAAAAGACTAAAGATAATATGTGAGGATTTATGTTGCGCTAAGCAAACTACCTCAAAGTCCTATGGGTTGTTATTTAAACTAAGGAAAATACTTAGCTGATGTACTTAGCTGATGAATACTTAGCTGATGTAAACTTGTTGTACTGTTGCAGATCCATCTCGAAGTTGCTCCTTTGTGTGTCATCGTCGTGTTGCCCACGGTGTTCGCTCCAAGCTCCCCGTAGTAGCACATTCAGATTCGATGTTAATTTTAAGGGTACATGCAATTGTTTAGTCAACGATCGTCTGTCGGGTACCTCCTATAAAACCAACTATTGACCTCCTATTCTAAGGTATAGTGACCTCCTATTCTCCTATTCTAAGGTATAGTGTGTAAAAGAAATAGTAGCAGATACAAGTATAATGACAGAATTTAAGAAATGAGCTAGCATGTCTTGTATCAACAAAAGAACTGCCACTTTGAAAAAACTCAAGAAAGAGCGACAAATGACCCATGATGAAAGAAAACTCGAGAAAAACGATAAATGACTCACGACGAAAATCTCGAAGTAAAAACAACAAATGGTAACTCAAAGAAAGTCACCAAAAACACGAGATAATCCCAGAAAAAGACCACGAGTGCTTTACCAAAAATTCCAATAAAATCCCACGAAAAATTCGAAGAAATCGAAGAAAGAAAACCAAATTCGAAGAAAGAAAACCGCAAGCACTCAGGTCGGGGCTAGGCTCAGATATTATATATTTGTACTCCAGAGACGTTGAAAACTACTATCGGTCACCCGGATGTATAGAGTCCGCCACTCAACTAGAAGGGTGGCCTAATAAACCTAACTTAGGAGGGTACTCCTTGGCCCGGCACTGGTAATCAACAAGTGGACAACCAAGTTACGATATATTTAAATTTAATATTTTATCATATATTTTAGCATGCACATACAAAATGAAATTATATCAATTTTGTAGTAAAATATTTTTTATAAATATTGCATCTGCTCTTATCACGTTCTGTTCTTATCAGTTTTTGAAAAATTACGATTGACCACAAGTCGATTACGCCATCGGGCGAGTACCGCCAACAACCTAAGAAGGTACGGGTCACCCGCTAGCCTTGCGTCGGTGAATGATACTATCATCCTACAATTTATCAGGTCCCTGGATTGGGTCAATGTCGTTGGATGAGATATCATTTCGCTCTACCATCGACGTGCCTTTGTCATCACCGCCCTACACCCCAAAATAAAGCCAACCTACTTGCGACCTTGTTTGATAGTTTCATATATAGCAAAATGTTATATATAGGCACTCATGTATCGGACATAAGCACCGAAAACAGAACCAAGAAGCAAGGAAAAAAAGAATAAAAATGGAGATGAGAGAGAAGAGAAACTGATCCATCCGAAAGGTCGAAAAGGTGAAGAGTGAATTAGCACTCAAAACTTATGACGAAAAGACTTGAAAATGAGGTCCCAAGATCATTGAATCAACACAAAAATGATATCATTTTTTCAAATTTTATAAATGGATCAGCCTAAGAAGGGTATCCCTTCTAAATCTTGTTTCGAACGGATCGAAACGGGCCCGAATCAATGTGACGATTGTATGCACGGCTCCGCCACCACTTACATATTCACACACCCAAGCCTGAACTCAAATGTGACATTTATGCTATCCAGATTTTAATGTCAAACCTCCAAACTCTTTCCGAACTACAATTTTATAAGCTTTCAAACCCTTTCCATACGACAATCCTATGAGTTTTCCAAAAAAAAAACCAATATTTTGAAGTATTTCAAATTTCATAAATCGAATAAAGGGAAGTAATCCACAAACTACATTCTTCAAAATTCCTAAAATTACTAGCCAGGTTTTACTTTTTTATCTTCCTTCACTTCCACTAGATTGTAAGATTTTTTTTTTTTTTGTTGCTAAAAATTGATCGAAGGTCGGAGACAGCCGATCAACCCCTATAGGTTGGACTTACCGAGGGGGGGGACCCCCCTTCTAGTATGTGATTTTCCCAGGATAAGGACAAGGAGAAATTTCAAAGGGTATTTGTTTGACTTCTACATATGTTCCATAGGCCAAATTGACTTGACGTGACGAGATCGACAAAAGTGTCATTGACATACATACCACCAAATTCTCATGCATTCACATATTTAACACTTAAACTTTGCTATGTCTACATTAAAACCATCCAAATATTTTATCACATAAAAATAATTTTAACTTCAAAAAAAATTTAGATACACCTTTTTAAGCAATAGATAAGGTGGTATAAGAGAAAAAATTGAAGATTAGTTGTTAGATATGTATTTGATATGGATGTAAATCATTTTTAACAAAAAAAGATAGCATTGTCGCACAAGTCAAGTTCAAACCGCTTCGATCGCTGTCAAAACTATCCAAATGACACCGGTTTTTAAGAAAGACTCCATGAAGTCGTTTCAGAGTCTACAGTATAGAATTCCTTACCGATCATATGCCAATTGAGCATCCCCAACACGCCCAATTACTTTGTTTCTTACTTTCCTCACAGATACCTACAATAAAAAAGAAAATCATTAAGGTAGATTAACATGTCAAAGGGTAATATTTTATCCAAAATGAAGCAATACGTACACGCACGCGATTATCAGGTCCATTTTCAACTCGATCCCGATGAATAACAATGCCATTGTCACATTTATTTATGAAATGTGCGCTGCCACTGATATCATACAGATTTGGTGGATTGCCTCCCCAGTTTTGAAGCTAATAAAAATATATATATAGTAAAAAATCAATAAAATAGAAGAGCCTACAAATTTCATGATTGTTAACCTACCTGTTTTGGATGAGCTACAAACCAGACATGACAGGAATGATGATGGGCGAATCGCTTGATCATCGTGAGCATTCGACTAACATATTCTGTTTCCGTCCTAGCATAAAAATTGAAGAAAATCATTGAAATATAAAATCGTGTGCTTAAACAAAAAAAGAGGCATTTTCATACTCAATTCTTATTAAAAATATAATTAACACCAAAATTTTGTTTCTTACATTTATACCACCCAAATCTTATCATATCACGTCAAAAATACCAACATTTTAACTTTTAAAAAGTGAAATACACATTTTCATGCATAGGCAATACGGTAAATATGTAAAAATTGAAGTTAAGGTGTTAGATATGTATGTATGTATGTATGTATGTATATATAAATATATATATATATATACATACATACATATATATGTATGAGGAAAAAAAACAATAATCATCCAAAAAACCTTTTTTATATATATCAAAAACTATAATTTTCAGTAAGCCAGAAATCCTGGAATGGAAGAAAAGCTGTAAGTAAACAAAAGATGAGGAAGCCTGGAATAGAGAGGGGTTGTGCAAATTTTGGAGGAACAAAAATCGAAGGACAGAAAATAGCAAAGATAAGAACACAAATAGACAAAGAATCCTCACTGACTAGAAAAACGCTGGTGATCCAACTCATTATATGGATCAATGACGAGTCCACGGACCCCATGTCTTAAAACTGCAGCTTTGGCTAGCGTAAGGACCCAATTAATTGAGGGAATAGAATCATCATCACATCTGCTCTATCAATCGAACAAATTAGCAAGAATAACTAAAATAAGAGAGATTTATGGAGAGGTTCTATGATTTCACATAATATGTTTCAACATAACTCACCGGATAATATGAAATGTATCATTAAGCCACTTTTTCCCTTGTTCCAACTCTAGAAGGCTCATTCGTTCAACAGATCTTTCATTTCTATATGCTCATAAAAGTAGAAAATAAGCTTTTACTAAATAACTGCAGTGCTGAAACTGTTGCAAGTATAAAAATTCAATCATCAATCAGAATAGGCCAAAATAACATAGAATAACGTAGCTATGCTAATAGAACAAGAAATCAAAACAAGAATTCTAAACTGAAACTGTAAAATGGTTTAAACATTGCTTTTGGATTAAGTTTTTTTTAGGAAAAGTTTAGAAAACTGTATCATTCAAGAAGTAACGCTGGATATTTTTAGGAAATGTTTGGATTTATTTTTATTTCCTTTTTTTGTTTTCTGTCTTCTATAATAAATATTTAATTGGAGAGAACATCCTTGCAATCTTTGACAATATGTTTTCATCTTTTTTTTTTAAATAAAATTACTTCTTTTCTAAAATTGTGAAAACACCATCTGTTAAGTGTGTTCTCAAATGTTTTTGAAAATTGCCTAACTGGCTGTTTAAATTTAGTCATATGAAATAATAATCAAGGTAATAAAGATAAAATTGTTAAGTCACCAAGGTAATGACAACTATATCGGTGTTTAATTATGGTAACTAATTCTGAAATAACAAACTGTTAAAGCAATTTAAATAATTTATATTAAAAGCAATTAAAAATTAATAAGAATCTTAATTAAAAATGCAAAGATTTTAATTATTCTTTAATTACATCATATCTTTAGAATAATAAATTAACTGATTAATTAGTTGAAAGATAGTTAAATAGCCAAATATCAAGATTCATCAATTAATTAGGATTTAATTAAATATTATAAAGATTTCATCACATCATAGTTGTCGAACACTTTTATAAAATTCTCAACCAATATAATTATTTAAGGCTAATTTAATTAAAAAATAAACTACACCAACTATTTAATTATATTTAACTAATCAAAATATTAGCTAACTAAATAAGTTATTAATGATAGGTAACTACAATGGTAACATTAATCAATTAAGGATTAAATAACATTTAATAAGTTTTAATTATGCATGGCTAAAATTAAATAGACTTGTTGTCTGTAAAATATAATTTTCATACACAAAAAATAAAAAATAAAACTAGATCATTCAAAAACAAAACCAACGATACTCTTACTTGAAACAAAACTAAAGTAACAAAAAGTGAGTTATTATAATAGTTTATCCATTAAGCTTATGCCCAACAAAGAAACTAGAATAAAAGTTTCATATTTACATTAAAATTAAATCAAATGCTAACCAAATGCATTAAAAATCAATATCCGTCAAAAAATCAAAATATAATGCAACAAGCATTCTCAAAAAGGCATCAGAATACTATTTACGCAAAACAAATTAGGGACATTTACATACCTAGCACAAATTTCTTATGAATTTATTACATATCTCACACCTATACTTTCATATTTACATACATGGCACTTCTGTGCTTTAAATCTATGCATGAAAAGATGTATTTCACTTTTCACTTTTGAAAATTCATAATAGTGCTATTTTTTAGTTGGTTTTAAAGATTTGAGTGATATGTGTGTATATATAAAAGTTTAGATGTGAGATACAAAATACATTAGAATTGTGTGCTATGTATGTAAATGAACCAACAAATTAACAAGGATGCTTTTCAAGCACTATAAAAAGATAGATCATGTACAGTAAGATAGATCTTGATAAAATCAGCACGCTAGACTTTTTTTATTTTTTAAATAAGTTAAACCTTAAACCCAGACTTTGGAGGTAAACACGACCAAATTATTGGCGGTAATATACAGATTACCAATTAATTCACATCATTTGTCATACTTAACTAAAAGATCAAAGTCAATAAAAATAGTTGCAGAAATGATAAATCTAAAAATTGTACAAAATAAGTCATGATTACTTTTGATTAAGAAAAATAGCATTAACTATAACATAAATTGTAGAGGATTAATTTCACCTCACTTTACCTCATTTTAAAGAATGGCTTCTTAATATGTTTTTCCAAAAGCTTTCTAGCATGATCTTCAACCTAAAGACGAATGAAATAAATATATCAATACAAAAAAGCAAATCTATGAATAGGAAGAAGACCAATGCGTTCATTTAACAGACCTTGTTCTCCATGGAGCAGAGAGCAAATGTCCAACCAAAACTTTCATTGATATTGCACAATAAGGCATCAATCCACTCACTCTTGCCAGAATTAGGAACTCCTGTTATGACAGTCAATTCTCCAGGCACAATCTGGCCAGAGCAACATGAAATAAGTTCAATGCCAACTGTAACATGCCATAAATCTTTTGAAAGTTTTAAGAACACACCACTCATTTCCTATGTATTTGCATTTCTAACACATAAACATAATTTTTTACATATATGACACGTTAGTACCTTACCTATGCGTGGAAAGGTGTCTTTCACTTTTTAAAAGTTAAAATAGTGATATTTTTGTGTGATATAAAAATTTTGACTAGCATAAATGTAAAAAGTACAGTTTAGGTGTTATATATGTAAATAGATAGAAATTGGGTGGCATGTATGTAACTGCCCCAAACCATTATTGCTTGCATCGACAGTCCCAATAATTATGAACTAAGGAACATTTTCTCATATCCTGGCCATAGTTTGCACCTATATAACTTTCTTAATTACAATAAGAAGGTTTTGAGTCTTAGTAGTCAAGACCAAATTCTTGCCAATAGTTCCATAGGTTTCATGTGGCATATTACATTCAATATGCACATCTCTGCGTAACAACGGTTTTGAACGTGATACTTACAACTAAAAGTACCTTCAGAACATTGTTGCACCATTATGAAGAATTTCAATCCAAATCCAAATTATTGCCAATGACAAGTTCAAAAACTAAATTTGAAATCTAATTATTTAGCTCCAATTCCCTAAGAATGGTAACCCAACCACATGACACCCAAATGAACCATACATCTAATTAATCAGCTCCAATTCCCTGCCCATGGCAACCCAACCACATGACACCGAAATGAAGCGTACATTTATCAAATGGCCCATAGTAGAGGGGTGGGGTGCATGTATGTAACTGCCCCAAATCATTATTACTTGCATCCACATTCCCAATAATTATGAACAAGGAACATTTTCTCATATTCTGGCCATAATTTGCACATATATAACTTTTCTTAATTACAATAAGAAAGATTTAAGTTTTAGTGGTCAAGACCAAACTCTTACCAATAATTCCATAAGGTTTCATGTGGCATATTACAATCAATCTGCACATATCTGCCTAACGACGAGGTAACCCAACCACATGACACCCAATGAACCATAGATCTAATTAATTAGCTCCAATTACCTGCGCATGATAACCCGACCGCATGACACCCAAATGAAGCATACATTTATCAAATGGCACATTGTAAAGGGGGGCATGTATGTAACTGCCCCAAATCATTATTGCTTGCATCCACAGTCTCAATAATTATGTACCAAGGAACATTTTCTCATATTCTTGCCATAATTTGCACATATATAACTTTCTTAATTACAAAAAGAAGGTTTTGAGTCTTGGTGGTCATGACCGAACTATTGCCATTAGTTCCATAAGGTTCAATATGGCATGTCGCATTCAATCTGCACATCTCTGTGTAATAATGGCTTTGAACGTGACACTTACAACTAAAAATATGCTCGGAACAATGTTGCACAAGTATGAAGAATTTCAATCCAAATTCAAACTATTTCGAATTACAAGTTCAAAAAATAAATTTGAAATCTACTTCATTAGCTCAAACCTCAAACTCCCTACGCATGGTAACCCAACCACATGACACCAAACGAGCCATACATCTAATTAATTACTCCAATTCCCCACGCATGGTAACCCAACCAGATGAAACCCAAATGAAGCATACATTTATCAAATGGCGCATCGTAGGTGAAAAGAGCTTAACTTGGTTATAGGCTAGGTTCGAAGTTATTCAATTCATACTCAAATGGTAGAGTTCAAAAAGTTCCGCTTACTCAACAATACAAACCCCATTGACAACAGTTAAAAGACCCTAGAATAATGACATCTTTGGTGGGATTTACTTAACTGCACCTTTAAGATAAAGGAAAGTGAAACATTTAAACATTTCATCCTTCTACGATGACTCAAACCAAGAGTAACAGCTTATTGATCAGGATGTTTAGAAATCTAGTATCACTAATTAAATGAAAATTATAATATTTAAATGTTCAAAGGGATCAACTAACCGGTATGGAAACCATAGGATTCTACATCCCAAGTATAGTTTCTTAAAAGTGAATCGGAATTTATAAAGCTTAATAAAATTCAAATAATTGCAAAGAAAAGTGTTTAGCATGAATTAATTTCTTTTTACCAATACAATTGAAGAATTTTCTCCAAAAATCATATATTGATCTTTAAAAACTGATCATAAAAGATAAAACCAGCACCCTGATTCTACTACAGTCTATAAAAGCCAAATAAAATAGGGAATAAATACGTTTTTGTGCCCAGAAAATAGTACTGAAAATATGAAGAACCCAAAAGTAAACACGAAAATATGAAGTTTTACAGAACTTACACTATAGAAATAATAATAACAAAAATATGAAAGTTTTACATAACTTACATACGAAAGTTTTAAAGAACTTACATTATACAAATCATCCAGAGCTCTCCAACCTGTTGACACACCCAATTCAAATCCTTGAATGCAATTATAATAATCAGTGATCTCTGTGAAATAGTTGCTAAAGTTTAATAAACCCCGTATGGGAAACATTTCAGCTTTCTCTATAACTTCCTTCAGCACATGTTCTCCAAAAATGTTCAGCACCTGGAAACAAATTAGAACAAACTTTTATGACAAGTCTTTAAAACTCTCTCTCTCTCTATATTTATCTCTAGCATCTCACCTCATTAGCATCTTTGCAAATCTCAGTAGCACTTTTTTTTGGCCACTTGACCCTCCAGCATCTGTTATAGACTTACAGTTGAAACATTTAAACAGGACTTCTAAATACAATGCAAGAACATGCAAAAAATTGTTCGAGTATATTGCAATTACAACAGAGCTGCAAAACAAATAAAACTGATTAGGATTATGACAAAGAACCTTTCTTTACCAAGGCGACGAGCTAATTCTTCAGCTAGTGCCTGCCCAAGGCCATCACCATTTGTTGCTAGTATTATACGAGGCACCTATTATTTTCAAACATAATTCTTATTTTTATTTCCGCTACATAATTCAACATTTGAAGGATGACCTCATTTGAGAGTGATTTAAGAGTAAAATAACTACCTTTTCAAAATATTCCTTGCATTTCCATAGGTAATGAAAGCTTACATCCTAGCAATACAAATAAATTGAAAAAAATGTTAGATAACAAATTAGTTAACTGAGAGAATTAGATCTACACAAGTTGCAATTATTAAAAGTTGTGTAGGGTTGTAAATGAACTTGTGCACGCAACAAACTCAGCTCGATTAATTATCGATCAATTTTGTTTAAATTAGTAAATAAATTAAGTTTGAACATTTTTTAAAAACTTGAAAGTTAAATGAACCAAATATAAACACGATCCAACTAATTAATTTATGTCATGAACAAACATGTTTAATGTTCAACAAGTAACTTGTTAAATGCTTGCTATTAAGCTCAGTGATTACTCATATCATTTATAATATTAATTAAATAAAACTTGATTAATTAGAAGTTACTTAATTATAAATATTTAATAATAATATGTAATAATTTAAGAATAATTATTATTTATTTATTTATTTTATTAACAAATTTCTATTTATGTTGACTAACAAACACGTTTATTGTTCAACAAATAACTTGTTGAATGCTTACTATTAAGCTCAATGATTGCGTATATGATTTATAATATTATTTAAATAAATTTTGATTAACAAGAAGTTATTTAATTAGATCAATTTAATAATAATATGTAATAATTAAATATCAATATTTTAAGAAAAATTATTAATTACAAATTTATTTTATTAATATATGTTTATTAACTAACCTAATTTGTTAATTAGCATACAATTATCCATCATACATTTTAATATTAATTAAATATCATTATATAAATATATAATATCTATATATCAATTATATTATATCATATATCTTTAATCTTTTTGCCCTTCCAAGAATCACAATTTACACAACACTCAATAGCATTAACTCATCTTTTTTCCTTCTACTGTTTTGATTTGCTTATTTCACACAAAATGCTTGATATCTAAATATTCATAACATATTTAGCCATTTTTTATTTTTTATTTTTCAAAATAATTTATCTCTCATAAGTGAATATTCATACTAAATACAATTTTTTTTTATTTCATTAATTCAATGAACCAAGTTAGTAGTATTTATTTTTGTTATTTGTGTGCAGAAAAATTTACTTACAATTTATATATTATCTTATTTAATTTGTGAAAAATATTAAATACCAATTGAAATTTAAGTCAATTGTTTATATGTTTAAATTTGTAAAATCTGTTGTTAATAATTTTATATGAAAATGCAGGCGCTCATCTGAATTTTTAACTTATTTATTAATTCATTGAAATGCTCGTTAAATTAATAAAAACAAGAAAAAAATAACAAGTAGGATCACTAAAAATTTTAAACAAGAGTATAAAACATATATGTGAATGCTTGGCTCAAGTTCGAGCCAAACAAGAACTTATAATATAACCAAGCCAAATCCAATCAACATCATAATCTGCTCGATACAGCCCTATTGTTGTGCTCGATATAAATAAAAAAGGCCAGCTGCGAACAAAAATTTCACCAGATTCCAAGAAACAGATTAAAAGGAAAAGTAATTCAAAAAAATATTTAAAATCAACAAAATACGGACAAGCATACCACTGAACTAATCTACAATTTAAGCGAGAGAAAATCTTCATTGGAATGGACGTAAGATTCTGATCCAAGAGCTAAGAACTAAGCATATCTGAATTTTGACCGGAAGCAGCATCGCAAAAAAATTAATAATTTGTGTACCACATTAAAGCAAATCTTGAGCCTCGTGCAATAGCTATGCCCTTCATCCACAAAATTGTATGGGGCTCAACGTATTAAGTAACCAAAGATTAGGTTAAACGATTCAAAAAACCTAGATTCAAGATTGTAAGCGGTAGTTGACAAGCTGATGGATTTTTGCCTCTTCCCTTCGTGTCAATGCAAGGAAATTTCCCTATAGATAGCTGCAGTTTGCTTTCTAGACTGAAAACATAGTGTTCAAGCAGATTTCAGCCAACTGAGACCTCCTGAAGCGAAATTAAATTGTGCAAGCTTTCCTGAGTCAATGGTCCTCAGTTCTAATGCAAAACCAGAGGTTGAGCTAGAGGAAAAAGTCATCCACTTGCTGTTTCCCTGGGCTGGCTATGGGTAGAGAGGGTGGAGGCATGGTGAGAAGAAGAGAGCAGAGTCATCTCAAAATCTGATAATCGGAATTTGAATTTCAGCTTTTTTTGCATCAAATGAATCCTATTTATAATATGAAATAGGAATTCAAATCATGGCCAATTGCTAAAACAAAAGAAAAAAATCTTCTTAAAGTTCAAAATCTAAAGCAGCTCTTCCAACATTCTAGACAACTATTTCTAAACTGCATGGAAAAGTTTATTCAAAAGCCTAAAATCTTGCAATAAACACAAAAAACGATAATGACTTAGAATCCAATTGATCATGATATGATATGGTACAATCCAATAACTAGGAGCAAAAAAAAACAATTTATTTCTTGTTGCCAAACTGTCTTTTTGGTCAAAATTAAAGTTATACATAAAGGCATAGATATATCTTAAATGCATACAGACATGCACAACTAAACACTAAAATAAATGCAAATTCATGTACATGCATACATAAATACAGCATACAAAAAATATAAATACACACATACAAAATAAATGAGTGAACCGATACACTTACAAAACCACCTAATAAAAACAGGCATGCAAGTATGAAAGAATTTGACATAATAAAACAGCCAATAAGTAGGTTAGCGTTGGAATTTGATCTTGAGCAAGATTAATCAAGCAAGGCCGCCAAGATCCAAGCTTGATTCGAGCCAAACCTACCTTATTACTATGTGTATAGTTCAATCTGAGCCTAAAAATTAACTTACATGCAAGCGTATCTCAGAGTTCAAAATTCTAAAGCTGAACTCATGCTACTTTAACCGTTGTACTCTAATTGCTCCAGTTTACAACTCTTCAAGAAGCTCAATCTCCAAACAATGGATTTAAGTGCACTCAGGTAGACAGACACACCCATACAGAAACAGGTAATGGTGCAATTTTGTGCTACAGTTGTATGAACTTAGTTGCACACCTAGCCTCCATACATTACCCATTTGAACAAGTGACAGCATCAAAAACTTGAGATTCACAAATGTGAATTAATAAACTGAAAAAAAAAAAGATTAAACTTCACCATCTATATGTTAAAGAATAAAGTGTCAAACTAGTCCCCTGACTGTTTTCAAGAGATAATTTTATTCCTAGAGCTATAAGAGTTTCAAATTAATCCCACTCTTTAAAGTGAGATTGAAATAGTCTTCCCTGTGGATGATTTTAGTTCATGTTAAAAGAGTATAGGAGACAAAATTGGAAATTCTATAGACTCTAGGACCAAAATGAACCCCTACAAAAAGTCGTGGATTATTTTGACATTCTACTCTAAATAAAATTCAGCAACCACGTATTATTAATAAAACGCAGACCAGACCTCATGTTCACCGTGTAAGTCATCAGCAAACTTTGATGCTTTCCCATTTGGCACACTTATACAGTTACAGTAGCCAGCCTCCTCCACCGAAAGTTTATCAAATTCACTGTCAACCTAAAAAATAAAATCAAAGGTGACGAGCAAATTGAATCAAATAGCTATATGAAATGAAGTAGGACTTAATGGATGAATTACAATGATAATCTCATTTTCAGGTAGTAAGTCATCGAGTCCAAAAAATATTCTTTCAGTGTCCTTCTCCTGAAATAAAAAAAAACAATATAAAATTTGTAAGAACCTCAAAACTCAAAGGAATTTCTGTAACCTTATGCTTTATTGGGATCAATTTTCATTTTTGTTTTTTTTTAATTTTGTTTTTCCTTTTCTTTAAAATATATTTGTAGAGTATGTTTTTTACATATTTTTATTTTTTGCTTCCAAAAATAAATTAACATATTTTTTTTAAAACAGTCAAAAAAAACTTTTAGGAGTTTTGAGTATTTTAAAAAATAATCAAATATTAATCAAATACGTAAAAAACATTTTGTTTCAAACCAAAATATAAACAAAAAAAAATAGTATAATAAATAAAAAAACAAATGTGATCCCAAACTGCCCCTAAATGCGCAAAATGCTGAAAAAAGGCAAAAACGGAAAAGAATGAGCTCGTCTACTTTAAAGTATATTATTGTGTAATCCTAAATTATGATTGTGACAAATGTACCTGCCAAAAATTTTTCTCAACATCGAAATAGTTACAGCTGACGAGTTTTCCATTCCGTCTGTAAGTAAAGGCAATTACAATCTGTAGAGAATAGCTAGTGTTACACTGTTACTATAGTTAGAGATGTTAAACAATGTTGCAGCCAAAGAAACCATACCTCATCACCCCACACCCGCTGCATCACAACATTTCTCTGTAATGTCTCAATAGATATGCATCTTGCATTGAAGTAGGCAACAAGCTAAGATTAAGAAAAAGGTTAAGATAATTACTTATTACGTGCTCAAAGAGTACAATAATATCCTAACAAAAAAGCCTAAATCCAATCCTTCAGCACAAACAAATTACCAAAAACTCAGGGTAATGTACCATGAGAAACTGGTACGGCCTCCAGCCATCAATTAAACATTAATTTTGCCCAAAGCAATGATGAAAATTTGAATTTTCATACATCAGTTGGTGAAAAACTTTAAGGGGAAGCCATAAGACATGCAATTGCTAACAATATTTGGGAAGCATATGTACAAAATATTATTAAGAAATTTATATTTATCTCTTCTAAAGGTTTAAATATTAAAATTTTCATTTTTATTTTTCACACATAACAAATCAAGGCCTTGATCCGCTTCATGATGTCGATCATCGCCTTAGTTGTATGGATTCGTAGTAGTTTTCTATTTAGTTCATCAAAGTTTTTCATCATAATTGTTTTCAGTTGTTGCAATTTTGCTACATGTTTTTAGTTATTTATGTATTAATGTTCCTGTAATTGAAGTAATTATAAATTCAAACCATATATTTTTCCTTTAAATTATGTAGTTCAATTTTTGAATACTTCTCTAATGGACTTTGTTATAGCATTTGTCTTATATTTTAGTCATGCATTATTGAGTCATTTAATCAAAGTGACCACTCCAAATGAAGTAGGCACAAATAATGCTTTTGTATCGACCAGATGGACTTTACCCAGTTTTTGCATCAACCTCAGGTACAATTTCCTGCAATAGTGGAATTCCATCAGCTTACGGTGATAAGTGGGAGACTTGGATTGAAATAGTTTATTTGCAAATGCGTATATGTTTGCATGATTTTGTGCAACTTGGTGTAGATTTTCTACATATTTGGTATTGGAGCTTGAGTTTTTATCATAATATCTTAGAAGAAACTTGTTTTTTTATTATGATAACTTGAAAATAAGAACAACGGATATGTGAAACTTAAATTTAATGGTAGGTAGATGGGCCTTGACTTGCTATACCCATTGTATCTTTTCATTTCTTGATTTAAGTGTTGTGAGGAAATATTGAATAGGAAATATTTGTGAAGCCCCTCAAGTAGAATGAATTTGAACTCTCTTACATTGAGATGCCTTTCGGTGTAACATTTGGAATTTCATCAGAAATTTTGAATTTATGTGTGCTTGTATGAGCACTTTTAGGATGGTTAACCATGAGGCAATTAAGCAAAAGTGGACAAATCTCATCGGATGAGAGTTCGGCTTGTTGCATGACATTGCTTCAGATTTGGCCTCATTCACTCTTGCATGATATTGCTTCTGATTTGGTCCCATCAACTCATTCATTATTTCAATTACTTAAAAAGCATGCATCAAACATAACAGTATTTAGTTGGTGTTTCTTCATTTTGCTGCCTCTGCCTACAATTTTTTGGGTATATTGATACCCATTTTCAAACAAAATTTGTCATATTCATATTGTTAGAGACAGCATATTTGTCTTGGGTTTTCATGATGGTGGATGGTGAACCTATTTGCTTGGATAAAATATACTATTGTTAGTAGTTTGTTTATGTTCTATTGGCTTTGGGTCCATGTATATATCAGGCTGCAATCTTGTGTTTGGCGGATGGTTATTGCTTTGTTTATTATGTTCCTTGGCTCTTTATCAAATTCTAGTTTTTTATGAATGAAATTTGGTGACTAAATCCTGCAAATCCTATTAAAGCTACCAAACGGTTTCCCATGATTTATCAGGACTTACTTACTAGCATGCCAAATAGTTTTCAAGATTTAACCACTTCAAGATTAGATAAATCTGGATTTACAAGATTTACTAAATCCTACTTGCAGCCAAACTGCCCCTTAAAGTTAGGGGCCCAATATACCAGGTTAAAACTTGCATTTAAGGTTAGTTTTTCTCTTTTTGGATAGATATTTCTTTGCTTAAGAATAAGCATCCCTTCTCTTAGGACAGTATTTCTTTCCTCCTTATGATAGAAACCTTCATCGCTAAGATAGTCAATCCTCTTATTATAAATATCTTCTCCTTAGGATTAGCCTTCATCTCTTTACAACAAATTCCTTCCATATCATAGTCCCCTCTTCTTTAAGTTGTTATCCCCTATGAATACCTTGCGATATCACACTCTTCTAGAACCTTATAGATTATAGATCTTCCATTCCCAAACAGCTTGGCTAAACTGAGTTATGGGTTTTTTGATGATCTAGACTTTTTAAACATTTCAGAATACAAGCCATCTTTGAAGTTAACGTCATTGTCTTCATTCCCTCGAGTGTCCATAAGTCAAATCTTTTTTTTTTAATTAAATTAATGAGCTTCTTATAAGGACCTCTTCATGCTTAGGACTGGGGTGGTTTGATCCTAATCCTTAACCGTGCTCCTCCACCCTAAGAACTCACTGTTATCCTTTGCAGCCAAAATACATATCCATCATATCATTAGCCCAAGCATGTCTTAGGATTTTTGAATCCTTAACTGGATCATAAATTGTATATCTAACTATGCCTCATTGCTTATAGACTTTGATTTATCTTTAAGCCCTACGAATTTCTTTAGTTGGAAAATGTAGAACACAAACGCAAGCAAGAACCTTTAATTAAGTAGGTTTTTTCTTTTTTAATCTTCAAGATGTAATCAACCTTCAGAGCAATTTTCTTTGGAAAACCCAACAAAAAACTTTGATTCAAATAATGAGAATACCGATTGGTGATCTAAATATTTAACCGCTTACCACTAATATTATAAGTTCATAAAATCAACTGATCCAAGAAGTCTTCTATTGCAATTCATTGATATCATCCTAGGATGGAAATTCTCCAAAATTCCTACCATATCTCGTATTTCAAATAAATATATATATATATTAACACAAATAAAACATGGCTATGGTTATCAGATAAGTTTAAATATGATGTTCAACCTTGAATGAACAGCTTTATAAAAATAACCGGTGAAAAAAAATCTTAGGTTTGAAAATGAGCCTAAATTTATAGGCCAAAATCAAATATGTCCCAATTTGCAATCTCGTCAAACACTACAGAACCATGCTTTAATTGTCTCAAATGCATATTGAACACATGATCCAAGAAAATGGTAGCTCTCCATTATCACGCCATGTAATTTCTTCTCCATCATCGTCATCACAAATTTGGTTCAGCTCTTCCAAGTGTTTACTCACTAGTTTCCATGAAGTAATAAATATTTCTATTTGGTCTTTTAATTGCACATGACAAAATCCCCAAAATTTGAAGCATATTCCACAAGATCCACAAAATGGGGTATCTTGACTTCATCCCCATTGATATCAATTATTCATATCCAAAAAACCGGTGTTATCAGTTTGATTGAAGTTTGGAAACTAATGCACTTGCTCAGGAAATATTTCAATAAATTAGAGTTACACCTATAAAATCCTTCAACCTTCATAATAACTATTAAAGCATTCCAAGTGTCCTTAATCTTCAACCTTCAACCTTCATAAGATGACTCTATACATCGCAAGTGAAATTTTTTTTAGAGCTACTTGCCCCATACTTAAGAAAGAAAGTACATTGTTAAGGATTTAAGGTAAGGCACGAAAATTTAAACTAAAAAAAACCAATTTAAAATAATAATAACATTATGTGCATTCAAAATGATATCCATAAACATAAATAATTATAAAACAATGTTTATTAAAAAAATTGCATATAGGGACGGTAAGCTAATACACCCATGCTTTCATATGGCTAGGTGGGTTGAGAGTGATAGTGTTTCACTAAGTGGGAATTATATCTCTTAAAACACAAAGATATCCAGAAATGGTTTATTTTTAGGTTCTATGAAGCCATCATTTCATGCCAGCACAAAGCGACAAACTTTTTTGCACTATAGGTTTCTCAAGAAAGATCGCATTGCTTAAAAGGGTGCCTCTTCATAAGGCATCCCGAAGGCGCTACTCTTCCTCTTTTCCAGGAAATCTTTTGGATTCTTCTTACAATGTCTTCTAGATTACAGTTGTTCCAACCAGATAAATACATGGCCCTTTAAAGCATCAATTTAAAAGCAACAAACCTTGCAGACTCTTTTTGCATTTCCCAAAAATCAAAGTTGAGCTGCATTACATTAATTCAAACAATAAATCCATCAAGATGAATTTCACCATTAAAAGCACACATATCTACGATCATATCAATTCTCTGGCATGGTATTAAATTCATTTATACAAAATCCTAGAAAATTTGCATCGACAAAATTGAAATTTTTCATATGTTGCGCAAAATAAGAAAATATTTGCCAAAACTATCTCAACTACAGTTAAGAATAATACCTCTGGACACAAAGGTTCTAAGTGAAGATCCTCTTCTGAGATTGTTCTATACTTCTTGCGCATCAAGGATCCGTCTGAAGTTTCAGAACCAAAGCTGTGTAGAACAATATATTTCTCTTCGTTCTCAGATGTCTACAAATGTATGGTGATCATTCACAGATTGTATAAAAGCATCTGTCACCAGAAATTAACAAGCTCGAAGTAATTATAACATCAACAAACAAAGTATCTATCGTTATTAATACCTTCACGCAGCCCTTCCAACCGCATTTTGCTCTGAAGCAAGACCACAAGGCAATCTTCCTATAACACAAAGCATGGGTGCAGGTGCAAAACTTTAGTGTAGACATTAGAAGAATTAATAAGATATCAAGAACTGCATATGCATAACAAATAAAAAAATAATGAAAATTTTGCATACAAACCACATAATTCTTATTTATTTGCATATCTAACACGGAAAGTTAGATATTTACAATTTTAACAACCTGATGTCATAAACTTAAGCATCAAAAGATGTTTTCAGTTTTAAAAAGATAGTAATTGTGGCATTTTTTATGTGATGTTAAAGATTTGAGTGTTATGCATGTAAATATGAATGTTTAGGTGTTAGATATGTAAATACATAAGAATTGTGTGGTACGCATGTAAATGCCCAAAAAATAAAATACAAAGATAAAATACAAACCCATCTTCACGAATAAAAAGAGAAAAGCTTTTCTCTTTTGAATCCCCTCCACCACACTGCATGAAGAAATATCAAATTGGTTTTAGATGCTCTTATTGTAATTCAACAAAAAATGAAGCATGTGTCAGGTGCGCATAAGACTTCTTTGGTTGCTTCAAAAGCATGTATAAAAATATGATGAATCTATCAAATTACATCATTTAGTTAGATGTAATTACAAATCAGTGTGGCCTTTAAACTCCACAAACACTTTGTAAATACCTCAAAAGTGATGATTTTATTTTCACATTCAAAATGAGTGAAAAACAAATTATCACTTTTCAAACATCATTTCTATCTCTTTAAAAAATAATAATAATAATAAATGAATCGCACGCCCTCCTTCAATGAGAATTACAATAAGAATAGGATCAAGAAATGAAACTTTAATATAATTGATGCCGATCATCATCAGCCTAAACCATAAAATGGACATTTAACCATAGCCAAACTATGAATCAATTCAAGGGCATAGCAATAGCCACCTGTGGACATGTACTGTGCGTATACTGCCCAGCTCGATTGGGATCACACTCGACACCTAATTCCCCCAATTTCTCATGCAACCTTTTGAGTTTCTTATCAACGGCTCCCTCGGCTTCATGAGATTCCATAAAAACTTCATAAAGGCATATACCATAAGCATAAGCAAATACCGTAAAACAAACAAAAAAACATGAGAGAAAACACAATCTTACAGGGTCGGGAGGAAGAAAGCTGTCTACAACAACAAAAGCCGGAGTATTTAAGGGAACGCACGATAATCCTAGAGTTGTTTCCGAATGGGTTTGCGCGGCGATGGAGGAAGCGGAAAGAGAAACCGGGAACAGCCGCAGAGCAGCCTGAAATCTCCTCAAGTAGATGACAAGAGCTGCGCATGAGGACGGTGGAATGGAGAATATTGCATAGCAAAGGGTGACGCAGAGGGGGCATTCTATGAAGACGATTCGACCTCACATGGAGTGCGAGAGGAGTGGGATGGTTGGCGAAGAGGCGAGGCCGGACTTGGTAACATAAGAAGCAATTTACAACAACTGTTAGCGAAATTTCGTTAAGGTGGTAAAGAGGTGAAGATGGGGTTTTAGGGTTTTGCGTTCTGCCCAGTGTCGGTTACAGTGCACTAGGGCTTTGCATTCAACTTCGAGGGTTGGCTCAAGCCAGCTTATTAACATTCTTTTAAATAATAATAAATTTAAAATAACATATAAAATGAGTAATTAGAAAAAAAATAATCATAAATTTTTTAATATAAAATATAAATGGTTTTCTTAAATATTTTTTATTCTTTTAAATATAATGTCTCTAAATTTAATTTTGACTATATATTATATTAATATTTTTAAAAAGCCCTCGAGCTAACAGGCGGGAATAGCTATGACATGTTAACTCATCAAGTTAAGTTCACGAGCTACTTATTGAGCCTAGCTCGAACCGGCTCACGATTCTGTTTGACTCGCTTGAAAGGTCCACTCTACGTTGAACTAATAAATTTAAATATTTTTTCTATATATATGATTAGTAAGTGAATAAATTTAAAAGATATCACTTAATTCTTAACTATTTACATATCTAATTATTAAACTTCAATTTTTTCATATATGTCATCTTGATTCTGTCTTTGAAAATATATATATTTTACTTCTTAAAAGCTAAAATAATAGTATCTTTAAGTGATATAAAAGATTTGAGTTGGTATAAATGTAAAAAATTAAAGATTATGTGTTTAGATATATAAATGCATATGAATTGTGTGATATGTATATAAGCATTCCAATTTTAAAAGCTTATTTTAGGCTACAAGACTAAAAAGGGTTATTCGCTTTCTAAACACAAAACAAAACTTTTATAGATCTGCTCGGAGAATTGTCCTTAAGGGCATAATTCAGTAAAATGGGCTCGATCTGGATCTATAAATGGCTAAGGAGCCAAACCTGATGAGCTAACGAGCCAAATTTGAGGCAATTATGGCACAACCAACGGTCTAATTGAACTAGGTGTTATTTCAACGAAACACGTTACCTTGATTTCTAAAATGTTTATAATAATATTGTTTTTTTTTTGGGGAAATTTACATACATGCCATGTAATTATTTTGTTTTACATATTTACACCTAAATTTTCACATTTATACCCGTATCATTCATATTTGGCATTTATATGCATAACACTCAAAACATTGCAATTTATAAGTCGAGCACCCTCTTTGATCCATTTTTCAAATTTTCACTCAAATATCATAAAATTCATGAAAAAAGCCCAACTTATACTTCTCATTTTTTATTAAATTCTCTATGATTGGATCATGACACGCACAAATATATCGATTAGATAGTTCAAAAATATCACATGGGCGTTAGATTTTATGAATAATATTTCGAGTTCTATGTACGTTATTATCCCCTTCAGATTTTTACCATCACATAACAAATACCATAATTATTCTCTATTTAAAAGTGAATTTCCAAATTTTCATGGGTTATAACACTAAGATGTTGTAAATACAAATATGAAACTGTAAGTGTTATATATGAATCCATAGGCATGGTATGTAGGGCTGGCAAAATGGTTCGTTGTTCGCGAAAACAGCTCATGTTCGACTCGTTAAGAAGCTTGTGTTCGACTCGTTAATTTCGTTCGATAAGTTAACGAGCCGAACACAAACAATGATGTGTTCGTTCGTGTTTGGCTCGTTTTGGCTCGAAATACTACTCATCAAGTTTATATATATATCTACAGCAATTTTCCTTTTAAGCCTATTTGACTTTATTACCCTTCAGTTTTAGGAAGAACTAGGGTATGGATGTAATTTTGCTGTAGTTCCGGCCGAGAACTTGTTCACATGGCGGCACGTGGCATTGTCCTAATAGGCTAGTCCTGTAGGGCTGTAAATTAATAATTATTTGCACTGAATATCGGCTGTCAATTTGGCTCGTTGTTGGTGAACAGCTCGTGTTCGGCTCGTTAAGCAAATGAGTCGTACACGAACACACCTTTTGAGCTCGAAATATGAACGAGCCGAACACGAGCGAGCACCCCTAGTGGTATATATGCAGTTTTTCTTTATTTTCTAGTGAGCTTTGGCTTGCCAATTTTTATTCATTGGAACTCACTTCAATGCTACACATGATCGAATTTAATTGTAGGTGTCAGCTTGCTCGTTGGTAAAGTTTTTTTGTAATTATGATTAAAATCATAAATTACAAAATTACATATATCGAATTCATGCGTTGACTCTAAATATTTTAAATGATAAGCTAATCTGTCATTTTAAATATTGTTTAGTCGTTTGCTTCCACAAATTATGTGAGATTCATTTTTATCCATATTTCTATTAATTGTGTATGCAAAATAACTATTATTTATTTATTTAATACGTAAAAAAAAATTTACAGACATGCCACATCATTCTTATGCATAAAAAATGTGTATTTCATTTATTTTAATATATTATATGTTTGGGGCGGCGTGCGGTGGCGCTGTGGCACCACACCGCAGTTTTATCCGCAGTTTTATCTGTTTATGTAAGCTTCATTTTGATAGCTTTTTCAAAATGTTATTGTTTAAATGTGTGTTTTCCCACTTGTCCTACTTAGGTGCTGCGGTAATTTTCTTCCTACTACTGATTTTTATATATATATATATATATATATATATATATATTTGTCACCGCAGTTTTTTGTATATCAATTTATTTTTCTTCAATATATATATATATATATATATATAATTGTCACCGCAGTTTTTTGAATATCAAATTATTCTTCTTCAACTTTACAACTAGTTTTTATCAAGTTACGATCACGCTAAAAAGAACCGTAGTAACAATGACATTTGTATGTGTTATAAATATAAACATAAAGTTTAGATGTCAGATATGTAAATACGAAAAAATATTTGATACGTTGATAAATAGCTTCAACCCCACCATTAAATAAAAATTAGTTATGTTTGCAGTGGATTTTTCATTTTTAGCGTAGTTATTTGTAGGGCTGTAAATGAGCCCAAGTGTTCATGTTCGGATTGTTTGAAAATAAATTAATTCGAATTTTGCTCATTTAAAAAAATGTTAGTGAATAGCATGTTTGTGATTTGTTCGAATTAAATTTTATTTGTTTGTATTTTTACTATATAGTTTGATTTTTTTATATATAATTCATTAAAATTAACTTTTTTAATTCGAATAATAACACATCTCGTTTAAAACCGAGCTAAAAAAATTGTTCATGCTCGTCCCGTCCTTTTATCGAATAATCTGAACATGAGCCATATTCGAGAAGAGTTTTTTTGGCAGCCCTAGTTGGAGACCCCCACCACAGCCCTTATTCATTTTCGGGTTGTTTCGGTTGCTGAAAAAAAAAAACATAACATAATTAAAGTATAATGTATTTAAAATAATTAAGAGTTTTTTTTTCTTTTTGTACAAAATAAATTTGGTATATTATCTCGCGTTTCTTGATTTAATGCAAATAAAATCATGCAATTGTCAGTGTCGATAGTGGCGATTGTTGTTCGATGAACGACCAATGGATGACGACAACAACACCAAATAGATGGTTGGTATATGTCGACAACTCAAATTTTTAGTATCACATTAAAAATATCATTATTATTAATTTTTTAAAAGTGAAATACAGCTTTTAATATCAACTTTATAAATATGTAAAATATAGAAGTTAGGTATCTAATTGTGTAAAAAAAAATACTATTTTACACATGTAAGAAAATATATTATAGTAATTACACAAATCAATTGATATTAATTTGAAAAAAAGCAAGATAAATGGTATGCTATGGACCAACTAAATTAATTTGTTCTATATAAAATGGTTTCAAAATCAATCAGAGATTTCTGCAAGTGGTCTTGATATTTTATTCAACTAACAACCTAATTCCAATTTTAAATGCAGCTTATATATATACTGATAGCGGCATTTACATACATACCACACAGTTCTCATACATTTACGCATATAACACCAAAAATTCTATATTTATATAAATAACACTCAAATATTTAATATCACATAAAAAAATATCGCTCTTACTAAGTTTTTAAAAGTGAAATACATATTTTCATGCATTGTTTTATGCCACTAAAATATTAAAATGTAAATATCAAAATTTAGGTGTTAGATATGTAAATACATAAGAATTATGTTAAGTGTATGTAAATTTCTCATGGGCCCCCTCTTTCTCTATATGCAGGATGGATCTCATGATAGAAGCTAGATGAGCAATGAGGCATTGGAGTAAGGGTCTGTTTGGGGCAGCTGTAGCTTATCCAGCTTCTGCTGATAAGCAACTTATCCTGATAATCTGCTGATGAGCAGCTGATCCGGATAAGCTGTCTGGCTGTTTGGTTGGCGTTTATGGAAAACAACTGATTGTGAAAAATTGACCATTTTGCCCCTGTTCTGAATAAGCAGTTTAGCTGTTTGGTTAGTGCGTTTTGTAAATGCTTCCATACTGATGAGATTCCTACCCAGTAAATTATATTGATCTCACTCCCCTTACACCGGTAGCATCTCTTCTCATACAATTCGAAACAGAAACCTGAGCTGAAGGTACTACAGTTCACCAATTCAAACGTAAGGGAATTTTGCTTTATTTGGCCAAAAAGTAAGAGCGTAAATCAATTCTGTAAGGATTTCCTTAAATGCTGACAATTTGAGTGAAACGAAAAGCAAAATGGATGTCGAATCTTAAATCTTAATCAATCCACAGATCATTTGAATTTTCATTTCACTTCCCTCATTTTCCTTCAACCCAAACAAACCTAAATTGAAGTAATAATCTCTTACGTAATCATGGGGCTTATATAAAAGGAGACCTAACCTGTTGTCTAGAGCTGTAGTCAACTCTGATGGAGGCTATGGAAGAGAGCAACTCCGGAAGCGGAAGCAACTTCGCGACCTCACGAACGGCTGCATCCTTAGCTTCTATTCCTAGATCCTCCATGGTCTCCTGCTCCGTAAATCTGGCCCTCTTGTCCTCGATGCAGAGCTCCAAGAAGAGAGCAAATGAAAGAAAATTATTGGTCTAGTTGAATCCCTCGTCACCCTCCTGCCTCCGTCGCAGAGAAGGAATCGCAGTCGTGCGATCACGAACGAAGCAGGGAGCGGCGAACGAA